ATCCTATCCAGGGGAGAGTAGTGATACTCTTTTGCTGCTTCATGCTATGGAAGGTGGGATAAGCTCCAGCGGGATGGGCTACTTGGTTCCTTAACATTTTGAACCCTTGAAGTGACCAGCATCTACTTTCTCCTTACAATATCACCCCTGAATCACTCATAAATGTCACGAGAATATAAGAAATGATCAGCAACTAAAGCTCTTGATTTTTTTAACAACTTCTCCCTGTCATCACCTTTGGAAATGTAAGGAGAACAGTAAGGAGAGTATGCATATTGATGTTAAGGAGTAAAGGGCTTTAAGAGGAAACATTACGCCACAATAACCTAAGCTAAATCACTCACCGTTTTTGTTTGTCATTCCCTTTGTGGTGGCACAAGAAGAGCCAGTTGCACATCCAACCTTTGTGCAGGCACAGACCTAAAAAACGTAGCAACAGACCAATTTCAATACTTTCTATCGGTAATCTTTCAGTTAAAAGTTTAGTAATATTGTTAGCTCTTAATCGCTTTGTGACAATCCACAATGGAACATTGCGTGACGCCTCAGTGCGTGACGCATGACGCCTCAGAAAAAGACCACGGTGACAGTCACACATCTCTTACGTCACGCCAAGGAACAAAATAAGGAAGCTACTTTCATCATCTCTATGGTTAATCGGCTAAACATTTGAAAACGAAAATGACTTTAACCCTTGTCATTAAGGCGTCAGAGCGCGCGAAAGAACAGGTGCCCTGGCGGTAAGCGCCATGTAAGCGCACTGGACACCAAATCGCAAGTTCCGTTGCCTGCTTCTCGAAAGTCCTGCTAACATTACGGAACCGAAGCCATAATTTACATATCTTTACCTAAGGAAGAGTATTGCGGGTCTTAACTCAAAAAACAATACATGCCGTTAAATTTACTCAAATCTCTATAATTTGAATTTTAAAGTTTTCAAACCTCGATTTGAATGCAAACACGAAAAATAAAACCAGCTTTGCGGAACCGGTTATAACCGAAAATTTAGAGAAATAAGCCCCTGGCCCGGTATCTTAGTTGTGTTCTTGGACACGACAATTTACTTTCACAGTGTGTCTTTTAGCCCAGGAGTATAAACAAGCGACAGCAACTTTCGAGAAAATTTGATGAATTGCTGCTGGGTTACCTGCGCTTCTTCGAGTCGCGACACAAGGATAAAACCGGGAAACCCTCCTGTAGCAACGAGCTGGTGGACTCGATCATTTCAGAGGGAATGTACTCAAAAATCTTCCCCTCAAAATCCAACCAATTTTAAAATTGGTTTAAGTAATTCAACAGCGCAACGAGCAGTCATTGCGCAAACGTAGTCTCATACATTTATACTTACAGTGATTGTGTAGTCAGAGAAGTGCCTCAGGTTTGTTAAAGGGATTTTATTAACGTTGCCATCCACCGTGAGAGAAGCATTAGGCTTGGTTGCTGGGACTGTGGGTCTCATGGAAGTCGGTTTAACTGATGTGGAAGACAACTTGGTTGTCTTTTTACCAGATGGTGCTGTTGTAGGCTGACACATGGGATTCTGGAACATAATACCGAGGTATATTCTATGATAAGCTAAATTATAAACGTACTCTGATTGGTACTTACTCAATATCTACTGGAGGACAGATGGGTAGATAACATCACCATCAGCAACCTTTTGCTTCTTTATTACATCAAACAAATAAATTCCATGTTGCCGTGGGCCTGTACCGTGGCAGATTACAGAAGATTAATAACGTCGGTGACACGCTCCATTGTTCTTAACACATTCGAGGTCTTCTGTGCTCTTTTACTGTACAGATCCACGGCAACATTAACGAATCTATTTATTAAGTATTTAACTCAACTTTTTGAGTAATGTAGAAATAGTGCAACCCAAAAACAGTCGGCAGTTTATTTCACATCATTACATAGTGACTGAAGGATGTTTTTCGTACGTCACAAAGGAAGAACAAAGAAAGAAACTGAGTATCCACTGTGGTTTTAGTCCTCTCTCGTAAATTCTTAAAACTCATCCACTAACATATTGATTCAACTGTTTAATTAACCCATCTTCGCCCTTTACACGTGATGGGGACTGGCAAATAATTTCTCCCTAGCTACGCTATCACTGCTCAATCACACATTATGGTCGCGAGAATAAAGGAAATGATTCCTAACCAAAAAACCGCTTGATCATTGAACAAGTTCTCCTTGCCAGTACCATAGGAAATTTACAAAGAACACTTATGAGAATATGCATTCTGATGTTAGGCGTGTACAGGGTTATTGATCTAACCTGTGCATTATTACTGCAGTTCGGCTGGTTTAAGCCTGTGGTAGGTGCGGTCGTCGCTAACACAGTTTTGTTTGTTGGAGGTTCGTTGTCGTCTTCTGTTTTCGTAAAAAGTGTTTTGTACAAGATGTCTTGGAACTCCTTCGCGAATAATGCTGATTGTTTTTCTGGTTTCATTTTTTCTTCCTCCTTATCGTCACAGGTACAAGTCAAATTTGTTTCGCAGTTTCCTGCAGAATTTAGGATATCATTGAAAACAAATCAAATGTTAAAGAAAACAAAAATGTGTAAGAATTTCGCTTCACGCGATAAAAAGCCGACAACAGTGCCGGTGATAACGTCACATACGCGCTTGTTACTTGATAGATCAAAGGTGAGCGCAAATTCAACAACGTCTAAATCATTGGCTGAATTATAAACACATTCCACTGGTTTTTTATGATGATCTTCTGGAGGAAAGACGCATAGATGACATTACCGTAAAACTTTTTTTTCTTTTTCATCATATAACACAACCTAATTTCATGTTACCATGGGTATGTTCGGTAACAAATCACAAAAGAAGTCAAAATACGGTAAGTTTCATGTGCCAAGTTTGGGTTCTTACCACATTTGGACGATTCTTCTCTATATTTACCACATTTCGACGTCATCCGTTATCTACTACAGGGCGTGAAATTGCGCCTAATACAGGCGACCAAATCCTGAAAATTGGTCGCCAAATTGGCGACTTGAATGTTTTATCATAATCTTACCTAGATATATAGTGAATTAAAAAGATCTGCAAAGATAAATCCGCAGCAAACTTCCTCATTAAGTTTTTTTCCAAAACGCAGCACATCATCCATCCTAATGTCCACTTTGTAGCAAGTTAAAGATCTTTTCCCTAACTTAATTTCTAGAACGATGACAGCGTGAAAAAGGTTTTGTTTGTCTTTGAAAATGGCGACCAATTTTTTTTGAATTGGCTTCCACTTTGAAGAATTTAGGAGCCAAGTGGCTACCAGAAAAAAAAATTAATTTCACGCCCTGTACTACTGAACAGGTGCTCGGCAACATGAAATCAATTTGTCACGTAGACCTCAACAGATATTACATTTGACACAATTACCAACAATTGACTGGGTGTCTGAAACGTTCGTCCACCGTAAGTCAACTCCCAGTATTTCTTCAGATTTTCCTGACCATTCGGTCATAACTGGTCACACCCGATCAACTCGCGGGTATAGAATATGAAATCTAACTAAAGAGAAAAGTGCAATAGCCCCAGACAGGATTTCAAAACACACCCCTAACTCCCCAGCCCTATGCACAAGCCATGAGTAATTTTGGCTAGTTTTTATTTCATTCAAACTCACCATCGGGAGTGTTATCTGTGCTTCCCTCTCCATTGTTATTACCACCAAGTCTGTTACTGAACACCTGTCGACTGCACCAATCCAAATCAGCTTTCCAGGCAGAGTATGTACTTATTTCGTAACTCACAATGTACTTGGTTATGTTCCCATTTGGAAACAACGGAGGTTCCCACGTCACAAGTAATGCAGAAGAGTTGAGGTAGTTTGCCTCGAGACCGACCGGCTGGGAAGGCTCTGAAAGGACAATCATATCCAACAGAAACTTGGCACGCAGCGAAAGAGAGGCATGATAGATAGGTCATTAGTAAATTTGGATCGGTGCCAATATCTAGGCAAATGGTCACCTACCCTTTCCCACACCCAATAACATTCATCGCCCCACCCTTTCCCCTCTCCTTCGATTTGAGCTTCGCTCACCGCCTCAGCAAAAGTTTCGCTCCCTTTACAGCCTTCCGCTGCTATAAAAATTAAAGATGGCTGCTAAGTTTTCTGCAAGATAGAAATTTGTCGTGCAGTCGACAGGTGCGAGCACTCGCCCGCCAAAATTGCACCTGCCCCGTAGGCTGTGTAGGGGAGGGGTAAGAGCGAACATGATACTGATCCTTGATTTCTTCACTTACTGCTCTCCTTTGTCATAACAAAAACCAAGTCACTCTTTGCACCATCGTTCTTCAGTACAACTGCCTCAACTTGAAAGGCATACAGTTGATACGGCTTCAGCTTTTTAATTGTCCTCTCAATCTTCCGACGCTTTGTTATCAAGCCTCTAGAAACATTTACTCTGCAAACGACGTAACAAAATGAATCATGTAGCAGTAGCAAGATCTTTGTTATTGTAATATGCTAACATCGAACAAGTAACTTTCGTTTCGCAAAATTTCCCGGACGGTTTACTGGTTTCCATATCTTTTCCTGGATGATGGGCACTAAGTCAGTATTTTGTCCAATTTGCGCGATGGGGTCGATTCCGGCCGGCCGCGCATCAATTTCCCGCGCAAAATTTCAAAAGAAAACATGGGAAACAACCACTCTCTCGCAAAATAACCGAAAGATAATTGAACCGTTAATCGAAATCTTTAATGGAAACAAAGTAGAGAAAAAGGAAACCTCTTGACTTTTCGAACACAAAGTTCATTCAAGTACTGGTATTCTGTTAAGAAACATTCTGTTTTAAAATTAACCGAAAACGTTTTTCGAAATTGAAAAACCGTGACTTATTAGTTTGAGTGGTTGGTTGAAACCAGTAAACCATCAGACAGCGGTATAAGACAAGACCAAAGCGATCCCGGATCACTTTAGTCACCCAAATGAAGATTGCTCTAATCAAATCAGTAAGAAATGATAGTAAAGTGTGCTTACTCTGGGGGCGGAACTGTATGATCAATTCGCGTCCAGCTGTGTAAATGAGAATACAAAACATACTTTGAAATAGACGCTTAAATTACATTCAATGAATCTTTGGTGATCAGTTGATCTGCGTGAGCAAACTAAAAATTACAATGAGATTCTGTATGTGTTTGTCCCTGCTTCTAATCTCTAACAGACTTCGAAGCCTTAGTTATCACCTTTTTTCTGGTTATTTCAGATATCAAATATACAAGTGCACTTGCTTGTTTGTTTTTTAAGAAACTACAAAATAAAATTTGTCGGAACAAAGTGGCTACTACAACCGCTGTACCACTAAATGGTTAATAATAACTATCAAAATAGGTTTTAACTGGAAATTGTCACATTCGCATGTTGGAGCACAGAACACTTTCCTAATCTTTTGAGACTGATAGATGATTATTAAAAATCATGTAGAAGATCATGTAAAACTGGTTCAGCAGGGCACATTTTCGGGATCTTGGGTGCAAGAAAATTATCGTAAATAGGGATTTAAAAACGGGAAGACTCGCAGTTAAAACGTTGTCACCGTATTACCAAAAGTGACTAAGACAGGGTCTATAGTTGGCCACAGAATAGACTACTGTGGGGTAAGGGTTCTGCCAGAGTGGCCTGCGGCACAAACCCAGCAAAAATTGACCCAAACTCACCCCTCCTCGATCATTAATAGAGAAACTGAATGACATACAGTATATGTCATACTTGTTCATGGACGAAATCATTAACCTTTCACATAATTTTATATGATTGTGCTGGAGAAAACAACAATTGTTTGTGCTCTGGAACAGTACAGACGTATCATTCATTTCCATGTAATGCTTAAGATGCTAGCCACTAGGACAAAATGTGACAAGTCAATCTGACTTACATGTCTCCACTATCGCTGCTACAGGCATCCACATCAGTATATTCTGTTATTTGCCTATTTGGGCTACAGGATTTAATACACATCATGGACTAATAAGCATCTAATTTCTCCATACAATATCACCCCTAAATCAAACACTTGAGTCATGAGAATAGAGAAAATGATCACCACCTAAAGATGCTCTTAATTGTTGGACAAATTCTCCTGGTCAGACCATAGGGAATTTGTAAGGACAGTATGGAGAATATCCAAACTGGCGTTACGGAATAAAACGTTTATTACGAGGCTAACAGGGATTAGCATAGGTGACATAAGCCAGTGGACTTTGTATCCACGTGCTCTCGGAAGCGTCTAGGGAGGGAGCTGCAAATACGAGCGGTGAAGCCAAAATAAACTGTCGGGAAGTGACAAGGGGGCCGCAATAACCTGGCAGCCTATTATTTCTTATTTGCCTTCTAATTTCAAACTTTTTGACAGCCCTGAATGATAGCTCTGCGAATTGAATATGTTAAAGCAAACATTATCCCTTGCTTGCTCTTTAGCCCTCTCTCTCTCTCTTTCTTTCATCCCGTTTCTGCTCAAAAATGTGTTTTGGCAAGAGCAATTCTTATAACAGGCGAGAGGTTTTCCAAGGGTCTAGCACTCACCCCTGGAAAACCACTCCCTGACTCGTCGTCCCACAGGCCTGCTCACAAGGCTATCCTAAGAAGGTATTCATTTTTAGTCACTCCTAGCAGTGAAAGGGTTAACTATTTGATAACTCTAGAAAATGTAGAACAGAGCATAATAAAACAGTCAAGCACTTACGCCTCTCTGTATGATAGAGTGTAAAACAAGACATTTCTGTAATCATCGTTGATGATAGCGTCGTCCCATTCCACTTTCACACAAACTGGGTTACATCCTCTTGGAAGTGTAATTTCTTCTACAGTCACATTTATCTTTCGAACATTACCTGCCAATAAAAAGAAAAAATTCAATCACAGAACAAAGGCTTTCCAATCCTTACTAGGGAGGCCTGGGGACTCTTATACTAACTGTTTGTTATGCTTACATGCTACAGCGTTTCCATTGGTGGTGTCTGAGATATCAAGAACTCTGTTACTGTCATTCCTATTCCACTTCAGAATATCATTGATAAGTGGAGTGATCTGGCTTGGACATAGGTACGGATTCAAGTGCACCATGATTCCTCCCTCAATTATTGTTAGATTCTGTTGAAATGGCCACAGGGCTTCTAGCTTGGGGTTATCACGGATGGCCAAGGCATACCTGTAGGAAAAAAACCATGCAAACCATCAGCGGTTAACTTTTAGGTCCATACCATCAAGAACTGTATTCATGAACACATTGTTGCCACTGCTTGTGTCAATCCCTTACATCCGCACACCAATATAAGAACGCATATTCTCCTTACTGTTCTCAAGAAATTTTCTATGCTGCAAACAAGAAGAACTTGTTAAAAAATCAAGATCTTAGTCAGCAATTATTTTCTTTACTCTCACGACCTCTTGAGTTAAAGTGGGGCTCACCTTAGATTCTCAAATTAGTGCCACCTTGAATAAGCCCCCTAGGAATGAGTGCCTCTTCTACCAACAAAACTCTGAAATAAGCACTCACTTTGAATAAGTGCCTTCCTGCACTGTCCCTATTTTTATATACAAGCCGTTCCAACTGCCAACTAGAAAAGTGCCTTAAATCAGATCGTCCTGTCAATTAGGCAACACCCTCAAAATAGGCAAACTTCTTCTCCACATTAGAATGAAATAGACACCAAAGGTTGCTTATTCAAGGATTAACAATATCAACGTTTTAACCACAGAATATCCCTGTCATTAGCTCCCATTCTATACACACCTCTCATTGTATAAATCTGTTTCCATAGCTGGGGGGCGGGAGAGAAAATTATAGATAAGTCTTGGACGAATTTCCCGCAGATTCTTGAAAAAGTTCAAAGAAGTCAGAGATGCGGACTCTATGATCACAATGTAGCCATTCACTTTTTCAATTTGCCCTAAATTCTCCTCCAGCTGTGTTCCAATACCTAGGAAGTTCAGAAAAATTTCTGTTAACATATTTAACCTTCTACAAGTCATTACCATGTGCAAGTAACTGC